GATTTGTGCCATTTAACAAACACCTCCTGGTGATTCCGTGACAGACAGTTAGCCGTATGTTGGTTAAAAAATGTATATTAAAGGAAAAAGAACCCTGGTTACTTTGAGAGGCAGTACACGGCAAACTTCAACTCTGGAGCCAGATGGCCTGGGATTGAACCCCAGGTCTGCCACACTTGCTTGTGATCTTGGGCAGCTTCTTAATCTGTAAAATGGGGTATAATAGTACCTTCCTGAGGGGTGGTTGTGAGAGCTCGTGAGTTGTAACATGTAAAATATTTGATTGGCCTGGCTCAGAGTAAGCCCTTGATATGTTTTAAGTATGATTATTCTTGTCACTTCTATTTTGATTCTATGTTTGCTTCCTATGGTTTTTTGTTTGTTTGTTTTCATCCTTGTAGAATGATCCCTGGGAACACTTTAGTAAACTTCAGATCTTCCCATAAAGCAACAGAGAACAGGGTAAGAGGACACGAGAGAGCATCGTATAGACGCTAAAACCAGACGGAGCTATGTTTAATTTCACTTCCATGCCATGGAAGCTATATTACCCTAACCTAACCCTCTGGTTCCCTATAGTATCGAGTTATTTTGATAGATAAAGCATGTGAAAGATGAACTTATTCCTAACATATAGCAAGCATTCAATGCATGTTTTCCCTTTTTATTGTTCATATATGTCATATATATAAAATATAAACATCACAGAGAAGGAGAAGGAGACAGAGAGAAATTCAGTAACCCAGGCTTAGGAGGAAAGAGGAGAAGAGGAGAATCCAGGGAAGGTTTTTCTGAGGAAAGGAGTTTCTAGTCTGTGCTGAATTGGGAAGCTGATTAGAAGTTAGCCAGGATATAGTGGGAGTGGGGAGGGAGGGAGAGGTGCAAAGAGTAACCTTCAGAGAACCGCGTGTTGCTTCCCTTGTATGAGGCTGGAATGTGTATCTGGGTGGGTGAGGGCTGGGAGTTCCTGGGAAGATATCAAAGAAATCTAAGAGAGAAACTGCAGTCAGACCAAGTAGGGCCTAATAAATAAGCCCTGGTAAGGAGTTTGAATTTGATCCTGAGGCTAATAGGGGGCAGTTACTTTTTTAACAAGGGAGTGAGAAGATGAGATATGCACCTTAGAGAAAGTATTCTACTGCTGGTGTGGAGAATGAGCTGTAGGGGCCGGAAGATGGGCAGGAGACCAGGAAGCAGGCTGTTGAAGAAATCCAGTGCTGGTGGCCTGGACTAAAAGTTATCAGCTCTCTTTCCTAAGTCCTCCGTGGAGGCGGGTGGGGCAGCCCTGCAGATCTGATTCTGGGGTTAAAAATTAATACTGTCTGAGCCTGATTCTCCCGCATGTCCATCTCTGCCTGACGTAAGTTAGATCCTTGTGGAAGTTGCATTAAGTCTCGTAGGCCACTGGAGTGCTGTTAAACTCCTGCGTGTGAAATGGAATGGAATCTCAGTCTGCAGTCAGCCAGTAAATGAGTATAACTTATGTTGAATTCCAGCTAACGTACAGCCGTCGAAGTAGCATGAAGTCTGGGAAGTCACTGGGGTACCATTTAGAGTACTGAACAGTGATTTACTTCGTCAGACCCCAATGGCCTATATGTGCCAATATAGCTTCCATGGTCTTTTCTACTTTGTTCCAGGGAATAAGTTATGGAATAAAAACGTCCATTTTTAAAATATATTTTCTATATCTTAATTCATTTTCTTGGTGGATGGGGATTATTGAGGTCACTATTTATTGTTCAAAAATGTGTAGTATAAACGAAAGTAGCAAGTCATAACCTAAAAATGTGTAGTTTAAATGAAAGTCACAAGTCATAACCCAAAGTAATTTTTCCTATAAAATTTCCTGTAAAATTTCCTGTATTTCCTATAATACAGTTTTCAAAAGTATTGATATTCACACTCTTACCCAGAATAAATTTGAATTTTTATAAGAAATTTTTAAAATGCTCATTATAAGTTTGTGATATGTAGGTATAGATACAGATTTAATGTTAATTGTTCACTGATATACAAATAATGAATGAATCATATGCCCATGAAGTCCAGTGTTTAAAAAGAAAAAAAAAAACAGAACTAATGTTAACCTGGTAAGTCCTAGAAGTCCAAGCCTGTATCTTCTGTCCTCATGTAATTATCACCACAAGCCCTATATTTAATACTTGCTTAATAAGTATGTGGTTGCCACGTGCAAATGATCATTAATATGAAAAGCTTGTCTGTTGTTGCCCCTACGTTTGTGGTGAAACAAGTAGTGGTTGTGTGAGAGCTCGCAGCTTATCTGTGATAGGTGTTCTGGGCACTTTGAACAACCGATGTTCCTAAAATTTACAAATGAGGAAACCTCAAATATGAGTCTGTAATAACTACATTTAAAACTATCTTAGGAAATATTTTCCCCTCTTAATAAAAGTAACAAATCCTTGAGATTAGCTCAAGATGGCGGAGTAGAAGGACATGCTGTCACCTCTTCTTACAAGAACGCCGGAATCACAACTAACTGCTGAACAAAAAAGTACTGGAACCTACCAGAAAGGATACCCTACACCCAAAAATAACAAATCCTCTGATTGGGTTTTCAAAGTGCGTAGATGCTTGATAAATAAGTAGGAAAAGAATTTTAGATATGCAAAGAGATTAAGTCATATTTATCTAGTTTGGGAAAGTCAAAAGAGGGAAAAAGATAAATACGGTGGAGAATTTTAGAAACGTTTACTGGAATAAACGGTAACGGTTCCGAACATTTGTGTGTCACTGTGGCTTGTTCATTATGTTTTCCAAAACATTACTTCATTTGATCTGTTTAAGAAGCCTATGAAATAGAGTTTCTACAGCTAGGGATATTATTTCTTAGAGCAGTTAGGTGATTTGTCCAGAGTCCAAACAGCTCATAGGTAATGAACTGGAAACTCTGTTTTCTGACTCTTTAGCCAGTACTTAAATGTTCAGTAGCAAGTAAATAATTGGCATATATTAACTACCACATTGTACCTGAAGGCATCTGTGACTAGGCAGTTCGCATCGAAGATGTCCTCCTTAAACTGACCACGCATTTACTGCCTAGACTGCTCATTTGCCATAAACTTTTAATTTAAAAAAATGGTTTTTCTGTTTACAGAAGTAACACAGTTCTGAGTAGAAAATTTAAAAATGTACATTGGCTCCATGAATATTATGTGACCATAGATTGCACCCCTCCATAGATTCTGAGATTTTTGTGCTTTCTGGAAATATTTTATGCTTTAAAAATATTTCAAATGAGATCACAAAGAACATTTTTGTTGCTTTAGTTTTTATTTTAACAAATTAGTATGAAAAAATTTCCTGTGTCTTTAAACATCATTATGATACTATTTCAACAGCTTCATAATATTCCATTTTCCAAATAACACCTATTTAGAACTTGGGGATGCTCTCTGTGTTTTGTTATTAGAAATAACACTGAAGAATATCTTTACTAACTACCTCATTGTATAAATCCATATTTTCTTAGGTAGCCTGGCAATAAAATTGCTGGGTTAAATGATATATAAAATTTCTTGATCATGAGCAAATAGCCCAATAGCTTGTCTTATTTAAATTCCCATTTTGTTGTGTATGAATGCCATTTTTTACACGTTTGCAAGTCCCTGATCTTTTCAAAAACCTTTGCCAAAATGTTCATCAGAAATAGTGTATTATTATAGGTACATGCACCCCTATGTTCATAGCAGTGCTATCACAATAGTCCAGACATGGAAACAACCTAAATGTCCATCAAGAGATGAATGGATAAAGAAGATGTGGTATATATATATATATATATATACAACAGAATATTTATCAGCCTTAAAAAAGAACAAAATAATGCCATTTGCAGAAACATGGATGGGCCTAGAGATTATCATACTAGGTGAAGTAAGTCAGAAAGAGAAAAATACTATATGATATCACTTATATGTGGAATCTAAAACATGACAGAAATGAACGTATCTAGGAAACAGAAAGATTCAAAGACATAGAGAACAGACTTGTGGTTGCCAAGGGGTTGGGGGGTAGGGGAGGGATGGAGTGGGAGTTTGTGGTTAGCAGTTGCAAACTATTACATATAGAATGGATAAACAACAAGGTCCTGTATAGCACAGGGAACTATATTAAATTTCCTGAGATAAACCATAATGGAAAAGGATATTAAAAAATGTATATGTATGTATAATTGGATCACTTTGCTGTACAGCAGAAATTAACACAACATTGTAAATCAACTATACTTCAAGAAGAAAATGGCGTGTTGTCACTTTGCGTGGTTAAACAGTAAGATAGTAAATCCATTGAAGGAGGGGACCAAGATTTGCTCTTTGGCTTGAATCCTGTACAACGCCTGCTGTATCTTTTGACACAGAGACATTCAACAAACAGGATGTTGCCTACACAGCACATGTAATACATAAAACACTGGTCATGTTCCTATTTGATCTTTGTTTTTATCAAATACGTCAAGTGCTTCCATTCATTCTTCTGTGAAATGAAATAACCAGCTTTTTCGGTGGCCATTCAAATGGCAAGTACAAGTTGGAAAGCATTTTGCATTTTTGGAAGTAGCATCATAGTTTTTGAGCTAGCAGGAACTTTAAAGATCAGTCTGATCCTGTTACTTTACAATAAGCGTATTTAATGTAAAGACATGAAAAATCCTAGTGTGTTTTACAAATTGAAATGGAAAGCTCAGTGTCTAATATTTTTGCACAAATGTATAATTTTGTCCATAGTTTATATGAGTTCCTCATGTCCTCAGAAATGTAAACCTCTGTACTTTTTAATTATTTGTAGTATAGTGAAACTAAAATTGTCAACCATTTTAAGAAAACAAAATTTTAGCCATGGCAATGGATTCTGGTTTCAAAGATAAACCAAACACATTTGCAGTGAACTCCAACCCTGCTTTATCTAAATAATAATTTCCTATAGGCACATTACTTGGCATGGCTTAGTCAACCATATTTCTTTTCATTTTTTAGGTAGCAGTTTTACAACATCATCAGGATTATATACAGGAAATAATTCACTCACGAATTCCTCTGGATTTAACAGTTCACAGCAGGTAATTTTCAAAGCCAGTTTAACTCCTGAAATGTAAAGAAATGCAACAGATGATTTTCTTAGGTAAAGAAAGATCCATTTATATTACACTATAAGCGAGACCTTTCTTAAGCCTTCTAATGTTTTTTTTTTTTTTTTTCCCCCTCCTTCGAAAATCTCTTTAGCGGTTCTATATGGTGAGTTGTTTGGTTCTCAGACTGGTTGAATTTTACCTAGAAATCATGGAATAGAAGTATGACGAGGGAATCTGATCTTACATAAAACTGGTTTGCAAGTCTGCTCACTTCAGTCAGCGTGTGCTTGTGTGTCCCCTCGTGAAGTCAGAGAAGACGGAAGCGCAAACACATTCAGGGTTACGTTCTGAAAACGCTAAGCAGCAGCCGTATTCTGACAGGTTGCTCTTGTGTGGTTTGATTTGGTAGGACTATCCATCGTATCCCGGCTTTGGCCAGGGTCAGTACGCACAGTATTACAACAGCTCGCCGTACCCGGCACATTACATGACAAGTAGCAACAGCAGCCCAACGACGCCGTCCACGAATGCCACTTACCAGCTTCAGGAACCGCCATCTGGCATCACCAGCCAAGCAGTGACAGATCCCACAGCAGGTAATTACGTGCATTTTTATTAGTCCTGCACGCTGTGTTTCTGGTGGTTGAGATGCATTTTTCCACAGTCATATATTCACGACAGTGGTCGCATACCTTTGACAAGTTTTGGCAAGGCCTTAAGTCAAGCAGCGTGATGGTGACCTTAGCTTTATTTTTACTTGCTTAAAAATTTTAGTACAGAGTGCATAACTTCAAAAGTACATGAAATAGAGATTTTGTTTAGTCGTACCTATACTCAATTTTCCAGATATATATAGCTTTTTAGATGCATAAGTATAAATGTTTAGCTATAATGCTGACCTATAATTATAACTGTTGACATATGAATATGAAGATAAATGACATCACCTCGAATTTAATGTTTATCATCATGAAACAGTTAATGTTTTTCAAAAAAATCAAATAGCATCAAAGGGTTGATCGTGGAAAATAGTGATTCTCCTGGCCTAACCTTTCCCACTCCTGACTTGCTGTGAACTTTTTAACAATGTATCTGAGGGTGGGCATTATTTGTACTCCTGCACAACCTTTGAGGGGCCCTTTCAAATGCAAGTCTCTCTATCTCTGGAAGTTTATCTGCTATGCTTTTAGCATTTCTTCCCCTCCATTAATTCTTTCTGGAACTCTTAATATTGTATGCTTAATTTCCTGAATTGGTCTCTAACTAGGTTTCTTTCGTTTTTCTCTCGCACTTAGAAAACTAGAATGTTTTTCCCGGACCAGGGCTCGAACCCATGTCGCCTGCATTGGCAGGTGGATTCTTAACCACTGTGCCACCAGGGAAGTCCCTTCTTTTGCCTACTTTTGATTTAATTTGCCCCTCTTTTTCTAGTTTTCTAAGGTTTGAGAAACCTTAGAAGTTTGATTTGGTAGGACTGTCCATCGTATCCCAGTGTTTTACATGAACCATCTGGGTCCGTGCAAGCTTCTCAAGGATCAAATGGAATTTTGAAATGAGGATAGCTATGTGAATGAGAAATAGAAAAACTCTTTAGGGTCTGTGGAATAAGAGATTGAGAAAAGGAGACAGCAGAATAATTTTACTTAATTCATGACATTTTCGTTGTGAAGAGAACAGAATAAAACAAACTGGGGAAGACTTAATCATGTTTCTTAAATTAAGGTTGATTAGAGCTTTAAAAAAAGGCCCTTTGGACATATCATAAAACTTTATCTCTGAAACTTGACATTGTTCTGAGTGAATTTTATTTATAAAGGGGATGCTGTGTGAGAGAGTGGGGATGAGTGGGCACGAAGCCACGCCAGACGGGAAACAATGCGAAATTATAATTTTTGAAAGGTATATATAATTTTAAGATTGAATGATCTATCTTAGGTTTTATTTGAATAAATGCTTAGTGTTTTAGGTACTTATTTCAATTTCAGTATCTTTATGGCTACAGAATAGGAATGAATTGAAATGGGGAGGAAATAGTATTTTTCAGATTTTTTTATATTCACCGCTTCCCACTAAAACGCATGTGTAAGGATCAGCCTTTCTTGTCTTACATAGTTAGGAGTGGAAAGTTCAGTGAGTTTACACATTGAAAAAGAAATGTGGATTACTTTAAAAATTCAAGGAGAATTTAGCCTTTTTTTTTTTTTAAACTTTGTGGTAAGACTGTGGATTCAGCCTAAGTTGTTTGGCGTTAACTTTCCTTTCTTACTAGTCATGTGTAAAAGTATAGACTTATCCTTCTTGATGAAAAGTAAGTGTTGGTGATAAAGTACATAAAAATCATTAAACTAAAGAATTAGAAGGAATGATTTATCGCATATAACCTAATGTTTTTGTTTCAAGATTGAAATAAAAGATAGTTAAAATAATGAATGTCTATTTTTGTTGAAGTTATTTCAGGTGTTTTTTTTCTTTTAATAGTCTATTGGGTTTAAAGTCAGTATTTTCTAAAACTGGAAAGTTAAATTCTAGTCATTATCTGATCTTATGTATGACCAGGTTTCTGCCTTTCAGTTTCATGGAATTACGCAGTACAGATGAATCCACAGTACATGAGTTCTTCCATACTTTATATCTGTTCCTTATTGTTCATAGAATCGTTATGTCATAATGAACAAATAAGATAGCCTTGTAAGGCTTTTTCAGGGTAAACATGTAGGGACTCATTTATTTTTAATTGTGCATTTTAAAATTGGTATGAACAATAGTAATCTTTCAAGTCCATGATATTATGCAGTATTACTTATAAATATGTACCTCCTCATGAATCTTAAGTTCAAAACTTATTTTAATATGTTTGTAATTAAATATTGAAAACTTTATCCTCTTTTCGTTAGGCATGTGTAATACATTAAAAATAACATAACTTGCATATGAAAGCTTACTCTCAAATTTTAAAAACTAAAAACAGTGCCTTTGCATTCATTTTAAAAAAATGAGTTTATTAGTCATGCATTGACTGTCTTAATAAAATACAATTTACATCATCTGGAGATATGTAAGAATCCATCTACTTGAGAAACATAGTGAGATTTATCTGATCATTCACCAATGTTTTAATTTACTTATTGGATTCAAGAAAATAGTGCCTACTCTTCAGCTAGCAGTGCCAGCCTCTCCACTCCCCATTGAAGGACATCTTGGTTGCCTCCAATTTTGGCAATTATAAATAAAGCTACTATAAACATTTGTATAGGTTTTTGTATGGACATATGTTTTCACTCATTTGGGCAAATTCCTAAGAGTCTGATGGCTAGATTGTATGGTAAAAGTATGTTTAGTTTGATAAGAACTGCTAAAATGTCTTCCAAAGTGGCTGTATCGTTTTGCACTTCTACCAGCAAGAATGAGAGTTCCTGTTGCTCCACATTGTCACCAGGGTTTGGTGGTGTCAGTTTTCAAATTTTGGCCATTCTAATAGGTGTGTTGTGGTATCTAATTGTTTTAATTTGCATTTTCCTAATGAAATATGATGTAATTATTTGCCATCTGTGTATCTTCTTTGATGAGGTATCTGTTCAGATGTTTTGCCCACTTCTTAATCAGGTTGTTTGTTTTCTTATTGTTGAATTTTAAAAGTTCTTTGTATATTTTGGATACAAGTCCTTTATCAGATGTTGTTCTGTCCCAGTCTGTGTCTTGTCTTTTCATTCTCTTAACATTACCTTTTGCAGAGCAGAAGTTTTTAATTTGAATGAACTCCATCTTATCATTTTTTTTCTTTCATGGAACATGCATTTGGTTTTGTATCTAAAGACTCATTGCCAAACCATAGGTTTTCTCTAATGTTATGATCTAGAAAATGTTGGGGCATAGAGTTGTTCATAATATTCTTTTATTATCCTTTTAACGTCCATGGGCTTGCTAATGATGGACCCCCTCTTTCATTTCTGATATTAGTAAGTTTAATCTTCTCTCTTCTTGTCTTGGTTAACCCTCTAGAGTTTTATTAATTTTATTGACCTTTTCAAAGAGCCAATTTTTAGTTTTATTGATTTTTCTCTGTTGTTTCCCTGTTTTCAATTTCATTGGCTTCTCTGTTATTTAGTATTTCTTTTGCCTACTTTTATATATATATATATATATATATATATAAATTTATTTATTTATTTTTGGCTGCATTGGGTCTTTGTTGCTGCACGTGGGCTTTCTCTAGTTGTGGCGAGCAGGGGTTACCCTTCATTGTGGTGTACAGGCTTCTCATTGGGGTGGCTTGTCTTTGTTGAGGAGCACAGGCTCTAGGTGTGCGGGCTTCAGTAGTTGTGGCACGCGGGCTCAGTAGTTCTGGCTCATGGGCTCTAGAGTGCAGGCTCAGTAGTTGTGGCGCATGGGCTTAGTTGCTCCACGGCATGTGGGATCTTCCCGGACCAGGGCTCGAACCCGTGTCCCCTGCATTGGCAGGTGGATTCTTAACCACTGTGCCACCAGGGAAGTCCCTTCTTTTGCCTACTTTTGATTTAATTTGCCCCTCTTTTTCCAGTTTTCTAAGGTTTGAAGTTTAGATGATTGGTTTTAAGTCTTTCTTCTTTTCTAATATGCACATTCAATGCTATGAAGTTCCCTCTAAGCACTGCTTTTGTTGCATACCACAATATTTGATAGGGTTTTTTTTTATTTTCATTTAGTTCAAAATATTTTTATTTTCATTACCATTGAAGCCCTCCCTTTAAAAGAGGTGTATATTTATAAACATCCTATCAGAGAAAAATTTTAGAAATTTGATGCTATACAGTAAGAATCATTTGTTACAGTCATAGTTATTCACATCCTCCTAATTAAATGGCTTTCAGTTCTTAGAAAATGTGTTTAGTTTCTGAGAGAAGGGTATTATTACATGGTCCATTCAAATTCTACTGTCTATATAAGATAATTTTGGTCACAGTCAACTCTTTTTTTTTTCCTTATCCAAATCTAAGTAATATTAAAATTAAATCCAATATTACTTTAATTTTTAAATGATGGATTTCATTTAAAATTTCTTTTAAACTTTTAAAAGAAAATTTTCTTTTAAATTTCTTTTTAAAATATTTTTCTTTGCAAAGTTACTGATTTTCTTCTATGTTTAAAAACATAGAGGTAAGAAATAAAAAAAAGAAAAAGACATTTTAGGATGTTTCCCTTTTGTGCTAATATCTAAATCCTCATCCCTCCTAGCCACTGAAGTGTAAAGAGTATATTATTTCCTTGTACTGAACCCTAAAATCTTAAGGCGTGTTGTTACCAACATAATTGAATATGTATTTTTTTAAAAGTAAAAAATAATTTAACCACTCGAGAGTTATTCATGAAGGAATTTTTTAATTGATGTTTATCAAAAGAACACTTAAGCCATTCTTTAAAAAATGTTTTTCTTTATCATATGTCAAAATATGAGCACTCATTTGTAATCCAATTACTGTGCTATATTTAAATAATTTGGCTTGAAAACATTTTTCTTGTCCAAAATCTCTTAGAACATCTCATAATAATTATGACAGTGATCATAATAATAATACATAATAAAAACACAATTACTATGTTTAGAGCTTTACATTATATT